CGATCCTTTCCCTATGGTAATAAAATCCCTGATTATTCCGATAATTAACACATACTTCCCGGATTTTTATAAAAAAAATAGCATTAGTGTTATTATTATTATTATTATTATTATTATTATTATTATTATTATTATTATTATTATTATTATTATTATCATTATTATTATTATTATTAATCTTTAAATGCTTCAATAATCCATTCAGTTTATTTATTGTTTATAAATTACATGCTTAACTAATGACTTATATAACCCAGACCTGCCACTGCATTATTAACAATTTTAATGTTTGTATAATTATATTGTATTTGTATAAAAATTCATACCTTAACAATACCATCTATAACGGTTTTACCGGAAATAGCCTTGGAGGGAATATCACTATAGTATTATAATTTATTATAAAATAAAAACGAATGACATGATAATGAATTTGAAAAATGGAGACGAAAATAATTATTTAAATGATTATATTTTACAATTTTGGTGGGCTATCAATAGCTGGGTTTTTTTTTTGGGTAAAAGAAAATGTTAAAGAGATTTTAAAATGTTGAAGATTTGAATCTTACAGATGAGATGAAAGAGCACCGGTGATCCCACCACGGGATTTTCCATTTAATTATGACACATGCTAATGCCATTCAACAAATTAATAGCGGACATGTGATAATCCCCCAGGGCGCAGGCGTGGAGTTGAAAAAATCTTGCCTTGTCGTATGGTGCACTTGTTGGTAGCGAATGTTACGGGCCGTCGAACACGACCAATCAGAAAACAGCTGAGCAACAGGTGACCATCCAATCGCTGTCTAAGATTATTCCACTAAAGTTACACCAAAACACCGTCCCCTCTTTTTACCATGTTTTTTTTTTTATTCTCAATCTATAGTTGTTAGTTGCAAACAATCGTCAAGCTAGTGGAACAAAACCGGTCGGTGTTTACAATATTTTAAATTATTACAATAGTTACGAAGCTGGTGTAAAAAGTAATGTCTCGTTGTTTCTCGTGGTACGCGGATTAAAAAATACTTGAATCAAGTATAGGTGTTTTTGATTTTTGATGAGTATCCATGAAAATTCGATTTTTCCACGATTCTAATAACGATTATGAATGTAGTAGGATCAAGCATAGAATATTGTTTAAATAAATATAGTAATAATATGTTTGATTCATGTTTTTTTTTGCTGTATGTGTAAATATTTGGTTGGGATCGGTTCCCGGGATTATGTAATTTTTAGTAATATTGAATAAGTTGTTGAAAGGAAGGAAATCGGAAAAATCGGTAAAGGTGACTTTTCATCAAAGTCACTGGATATCTTGAAAATTTATTGAACAGTTGCTGTAGGACAACGCAACATTAAATAAATTGTGAAAATGAAGAAAATCGGAAAAATCGGTAACGGTGATTTTTCATCAAAATCGGATATCTTGAAACTTTATTGAAAAGTTGCTGTAGGACAACGCAACATGAAATAAATTGTGAAAAAGAAGAAAATCGGAAAAATCGGTAACGGTGATTTTTCATCAAAATCGGATATCTTGAAACTTTATTGAAAAGTTGGAGTAGGACAACACAACATGAAATAAATTGTGAAAATGAAGAAAATCGAAAAAATCGGTAACGGTGATTTTTCATCAAAATCGGATATGTTCAAACTTTATTGAAAAGTTGGAGTAGGACAACACAACATGAAATAAATTGTGAAAATGAAGAAAATCGGAAAAATCGGTAACGGTCACTTCTCATCAAAGTCACCGAATGCCTTGAAAATTTATTCAAAACTTGCAGTAGGACAACCTAAGATGAAATAAGTTGCAAAAATAAAGGAAATGGGAAAAATCGGCAAAAAATTTTCGTCAAAATTTTTTCATAAAAAACGATATTTATTCGGAATATACATTAATTATAATCATATATATTTCGTTGAAAAATCGAATGTCACATCCATGCCACACAATTACCATCATATATATTTTTTCCGCTCGTTAAGACTCTGAATTAACATCGAAAAATTCAGCTTTAGGATTAATACGCAATTCGTTGCGCTTAAAATCGGTTTTGGGGCTAAAACCAGAATTCATTTCCCGGGGCTTTTTTTTTTAATAAGACACCCAACGTATCCCACGCCTTTGGAGGAGACTGAACACCAGACGGAGTCCGTTCGAAGTTCAAGATGATCCTCTTCCTACTTGACTTCACCTTTTTATCCAGATTTTTTCCCTCTTTTTTTCCCCGCTGTCCTCTCTATTCACGTTTTTTCCAACCTCCGAGGCGCCTCATGACTTTTTTCCGTTGTTATCCCCTCGTGATCTATTCTTCGACCTCCTTTCTGAAGGATCATTTGTAATATTCATGGATTCAATGCGGAGCCTTGGGATTTCTCAAAGTTTAAGTGATCTATCAGAACTTGGGATAAGGAGGCGAAATATCTCGCTGGGATAAAAAATTCTTTTCGGAAAATTCTTCTTCCAAAAATAATTTATTCCTTGAGCAAACTTCCACTGGGGAAAATGCGAGAATAAAAAAAATTAACATTATGTCGGTGATGTATAAAATTTTAGGAGAGAAAATCTATCTATCTATCTATTTTTTGAAAACCGAAAGTTTCCATGACCCAATGACGGATGATGCCGCATATATTCGCGTTTTAAATTATTCCAAAGTCATCAGAAACAATAAAAACATAAAAGATATTTTTAGTCTAGCCCTAGGCCTGATCAAGATTCAATAACTTAAACATGATGACGTATGCATGCACGTCAGCGATAACTTTATCCATTCAATTCCTTTCTATTAAATTTACACTTTTTATTCCTCTCAAAATCGAAACGAGGATTTATACTAAGTATCATATTCATCACGATTAATAATCAAAACGTGACGCCAATCTAACGGAAATGACATGTAGATTATTCAAGGGCTCTAATCATTGCTAGTTGAAAAAAAACGTTTGAGCAATCTCGTAGTTTTTGTTGTAATTGAGTTTTCTTGGAGTAAACGACTTGATTTATTTAGAATCAAGACACACATCAGATAATTCAATTTTCCAATTTACAATGATATTAATTAAATCGATAGTTCGATTTTTAAAACGAAGAAGGGAAGTTTTTCTAGCGTTCCACATTTTTGTGACGTCAAAAGAATCATTGGATATAGAATTTGGACTAGGTAGGAAGGGGAACAGGATAATTCTCCATATAATGTTTACAAGAAAAGTCGATAGTTTAATCGATAGAAATGAATTTATTATTATTATTATTATTATTATTATTATTATTATTATTATTATTATTATTATTATTATTATTTATTTATTTCCCAAAGTATGGCTATT